AGATGACATTTTCAATGTGGAACTTAAGCTTGCTACTTTGTGGTGGTCTGTGTTTGCCTCTAGTCTTTCCTTTGTCTCACTTCCAGCTAACACCGTGATGTAATCATGATCTCGGCACGAAAAGGGTCTATTGGCAGGGTTCTTCCCGTCTCTCCCGCTTCGTTTTTACCCCTTTTCTCTTACTCACGATACGTCTTGTGCATGCCTTCCATCCACAGAAATAAGATTAATACTTACTGAATAGGCCTTATGTTAGATAGATATCATCTCCACTAAACCTTTAAGTACATTAATGATGTTTAATTAGGATAAAATCCAATGTAGGGGATGAGACGATGATTTAGCCTCTTTAATCCACCAAAATGTCCTAGCTAAGGGCTTCGACGGTGATCACTCCCATCCGTCACACCCAGGGATTACAGCAGGACAGACAGCGATGCACAGCGGAGACATCTTGCTGATTTGACTGAGCTGGGAGCAGAGATGCTGGCTGCGGCAGCTAGATCCGGCACAAAGGCTGGCAAGCTGTTGATGGGGATTTGATGCTGTTCAAGGGAAGGTTGCTGTTGGAATGATGTTGCTGCGTTCACTTGCAGCTGAGGATTAGATAGAGAAATAGGGGTCATGGGGCATCAAACGAGGGACTGCTCCTGGCACCCGAGTGAAACTAGGGGAACTGTGATGAGGACCGGGGAGGCCAGGTTAGGGCTGGGACTCAGGGACAGGGACTTGGGTTGACAGGCAAGGCCAGGCCTTCAATTCCAAGGCCTGGTCCCTGTGCTCCAGGCTTCAGCCAAACAGCTAGGCAGGTGTCCAGCTGATCTCACACCCCCACATAGGAGGAACTGCAGAGCCCCAGTCACTGGAGCTGCACAAATTGAAGTGTCATCTCCAGAGTCAAGATGCTCACCAATTTTCTGCATGCGTTGGTGCAGAGCTGGGATTCAGCCAGTGGACAAATGGCTCTAGTTCCGCCTACAGTTTGGCTGAGCAAAGGAGGAGTGTGTGTGTGTGTGTGTGTGTGTGTGTGTGTGTGTGTGAGTGAGAGAGAGAATGTGACTGTGTATATATGGAGCACTGCAGGTCATTGTCCTTGAAGGAGGGTCTGTCTTTTGACTGCACACAATGCAGCATGAATCACTTTTTTGAGAAAAGTGTTTTAACTAAAGATAATTAAGGGAAATAATGTGAATAGAGTGGAACAAGTTACATCACTTCGGTTATCAACATTGAAATGCAAAATGTGCAAAATCCTGTTGTGCCAGATTCTTAAGCCTTCAGAAAGAAGCGAAACTAGCGGAGCAATACATCAGATAATTAATACTTCAAAATAAGAATCTTTGCCAAAAGAATCCTCCTACGATTGGGAAATATAAATCTTGAGGTTATTATATAGATGCTGTCTGACATGCCCTTCGGCAATTGGCTGTATCCTGTCATCTCCTGACCTCTGAACTTACGCAAGTTTGTGCCGATTACCCAGGGACAGTGAGGGAGTGTGTGGGAAAGCTGCAATCGATATCACTGGAAGACTGAAACATCACAAACGAGAAAGAAGAGAATAAGGGAGTCAAGCCAAAGTTAAATGAAAAATTGCTTACATACACGTCTGGCGTGGTCTGGAACATTTATTATTCCGAGTCACACAGAGAGAAAAGAGGTGCAGGAGGATAGAAGAAGAGAAGAATCCATTTGGTAAAGTAGATGCAGATCGATGAGACTGGAGGCAGGCAGGCCAGAGTGCAACAGGGGAGGGGTGTGTGTGTGTGTCTGTGTGTCTGTGTGTGTCGTTGAGTATCTGTAATGTGTCTCTGCGTGTGTGTGCTTGCGCGCATGAGACGTCCCAGATTACTTTCCCTGATTGATCCGGCCCAGCATCCGTCTGACCTGCAGGACATTTCAGAGCTCGGAAGATGCTGTTGGAGGTGGAGAGATGGCGAGAGAGAAAGAGAGAACGAGAGAGAGAGACGGCCAGGAAGAAAGGGAGAGGAGAGAGAAAAACAAAAAATCGATTGCGCAGAGAGCATTACAGGGAGCTCGACTGACCGCGAAGCTGAGCTAGTAAAGTCGTATTAATCTCTTTGTGTCTCAGTCAGTTTGATAGGAACTCCAATTCAGTATCACTTTTGGGGAAAGAGCGGGAGTTTCAGTCTGAGTTTAGCAGCATGAGGTGTGGCTGTTTAATGGTAGCGAGAAAGAGACACATGGCACAAATTGTCTGCATAATATGTTGCATTCACGTGTCTCATCGGACAATACATTTGAATTCAGTGATGTTTTCTATCTGTCATCCTATTTTCTCATTTTAACAAGCCAAATAATGTGGAATAAAAATAATGAAGATAAGACGCACGGGGCATAAGGAAATCACTAAAAATATCTGAAGCAAGATGGTGAGGCGCAGTCTACCAAGTCAGATGGTTGCATGCTGGCTCCATTTTGTAGCTGCCAGGCAGTGTGTCTATCAGTGGAGAGATCCTGCAGCATACTGTCTACTCCACAGTCTCTCCAGCCTCCATCTATCCTGGCCAAGTCAGGTTAAATTGATTGTCTAAGCTCTGTAAGAGAAGGGGCAGGGAAGCCTGCGCCAGGCCAGCAATATAAAGTGCTGGTTTTACAGTGTGAACGCAGCAGAGGAGTGACGAAGGTGAACAGGACAGGAAAGGAACACATAAACTCCTTGGTAGTTTACATTTTTAGCTTGTGCCGTCAGTGACATACGACTGAGGAGGAGAGACAGAGATCATCTTTGTGTGTATAGCGTAAAAGAAAGACTTGTAAAAATGGATTCATATACAGTACATCTAAAAAGAAAGCTGCTTGTGCCTTTGGTATTTTCGACTGTTAAGAGGAAAACAAATGTTTACTCCCCTTTCTTGCTGAAGGCGGATACGGCTCGTCCCATTGGACTGCAGTACCTAGACACCATTGGCCGAGAGCCCAAGGAGACAGGAAGCACTTTTGTGGCATCAAATATTAATGGCGTTATAGAGTGTATCGATTATATAATACGTTCTCCCAGCATCTGAGCACCGACTGAAATGTATTCCCTGAATAATTGAAAATGTATCCATGAGCGGTTTTTCATCTCAATGGTTGGTGAATGTAATTGCATTGCACCCTTCTTCCAGTGTTATTTGAGATTTTATCAGAAGACGCATGTGTGTGTGTGCTCATGTGATAAATGCGAGGACGGCGAGAAAATGAATAAAGATGAAATTGTGTGTGTGTGTGTGTATGTGTGTGTGTTACGCCTCAGACTGTGTTTGTTTTATTGAATGGTTGAGCATTGAGTATTGAGCACTGAGTAGAGCAGAGACTTAAACGCACTTCTGAGAAATGTTATATTCCCTTCTTTTCCGACATTATGCTCTCTTGCACTATATGCTGACTGTTGAAATGGAGACTCGTACATCTGCTCGCTGCTTCTTACATTTTTATCACCACATTTGTACATGCTGCGATTACACTGCACTGTCTGCGGCACACCATTCCCTTCCACCGCCGCGACATAGAATGACGGCTCTGCAGAATGGGCGAAGAAATGCTTTTGATGTTTCACCTCTGCCTAACATTTTCTTCTTTCAGGGTAGCTTTTTTCGACTTTACATTTAACAGCATGCTATACAGTGTGTTGTCCTCTTAATGAGATGAATGTTGGTCCACCATACTGTATGTGGTGGCTTATAGCTTGGGCACCTTAGCCTCAGGGGTGTAGCCACCCCTGGCGCTCTTCACTCTTGGCTCTTTTCAGATGGTTATAAATACACCTCAATGGCTTTGGCACACCTGCATGAGGTTGTCCTATCACAGCTAGAGTATGTTATACTATATTAGATTTGAAATTGAAACAAAACCGTATGCCTTTCACCAATTTGTCCCAGTCTGATTCACACAGTAGAAAGTGTTTGGTATATTTTACACAACCTTTATTCAACAGTTACCCGTATGCCCCCACCAGACTAAAACAAAGCTGGCTCAACTTGATGTTTCTCTAGGATCATCCCCAAAATATCCCAATATTCACCATCACCTGTCAGCTAGCAGAAATGATATTCCCTGTCCTCTTTTCTCTCCTGACCTCCATGCCCCTCTGCATCCTCTTTTTCCCTTTCAAGCTGACAGTTCACTCTCATTTAGACCTCCATTATGCATTTCTGCACAAGTTTACAAGACACATTGACAACAGAACATGTACAGCCTCTTTCTCTACTCCCCCACCTCTGTCTCCCTCTTTCTTTTAAGTATTGGAAGTGTCTTCCCCATTACTCAGCCCTTGCCTTTTCTTCCCCCTCCCATCTGATCCCTCGCTCCCTCTCTTCATCTCGCTGCAGGAGTAAATGAAGGCAGAGGTCATCCCTCCTCTCGTCCTCCTCTCCTGCTAAATTGGCTGCTTGTAGCATCCATAGATAGCTGCAGGCATTTAAGCCCCCTGCTATGGAGAGCTAGTGAACAGACTTCCTGCTCATTTGTGGCATTTCTGTCTCTTCAACCACAGGCTTGTTTACCCACAGAGAGCATGAGGGAAACCCTCATTATAAACTCTGCCAAGGTCATTGCAGTCACCACACCAATCTGCCAGCTCCAACACACACATGCAATTATATTCAATCAATTCTCAAATGACTAAAACTGACTGAAAAAGATGGAGGAATAATAGCTTTATCCCCATTTCTATCTCAGCATATTCCATTTTTCAGCATGAAGAAATCTTTCAACAATTTGAGTCATGCGGTTTTTCCAAATCTACACCATCACCCCGATTCTTCCCCCAAAGACAAAGCACTCACTCATCTCAGCAGTCACACTAACCAAACCAATCCCGAGCCGCCCGTCTTTGTTTTAGTTTGACTGGTGGACCGTTAAAGGTGTAGCTGTGATTTTCTAGTGAGCCGCCATTTTCCCTGTCACACCCCAAATCCCACCACATCCCTAACCCTGTAAAGTGAGCGTACGATGTTGACGGTGCGTCCCTCCCTCCCTTGTGCTCTGCTCCATAGGGGTCGACAGAGACACAGTGGCGTCAGGCAGAGCTCCCACAGCTCCAGGGCTGGGCAGAGAAGGGATTGCTGACACAGCCAAAGATGGTAAGGAGACAAATGGATGGCCCAGCCATTTTACGCACCCATGAGGTAATATGATCCGATATTGTACTGTGTTTACATAAATACGCACTGGTTGGGGATGCTGCTGACTGAGACAGTTGGAACTGGAGCAGGGATTGATGGAGAGACGACCGAGGGTTGCAAGGGTGGAAGAAGTAGTGCAGAGATGAGTGAGAAGCAATATTCAGCTGCTGACGTGTTCATCCATTGTATTTATATGAGAACACCAATAAATAAAATGCTTATTTCTCAATTTATATGTATTAATATGTTCATATTTTGTAGTATTTTTACTACATCCTTTCAAATTAATTGTGCTGTTTAGCTTTCATTAAAACATGCTGCAACCGTGGGCATTTCTAATGGGTCTTTACTCCCTTGCAGACACTCAAGTTGCTCACTGGTATAATTTGTCCTTTGTTGCCCCCTTTCTCCTGTATTGCGCACTCCAGCACTCATTAAAAATTAATCTGTCCCCCCATGCACTTTGCTTTATAGCAACTGTAGCTTCAGCATTGTTTGATTCAAGCCAAATCACTTTGTCATTCTTAAAGGGACAGTGCTGTCAGATTTGGTGGCACCTAGCTGTGTGGCTGCAGAGTGCAAACAACTGAAAACCCCTCCGCTCACTCCTCCCTCTCCAAGACTCTGGGCCTCAGTGTGCAAAACCTTGACGGCGCTGTTCGCCTTGCTCAGAGGCCATCCTTACCTAAATAACACTTCTTTAGGAGGAACTGAAGTCAGGCGGCAGCTGGCGGTACCACGGTTTTGCCCTCTGCGGCTCATGTCACAAGCATGTCACGTCACAAGCATGTTGAGGAACCACGGAGGCCTTCGGGTAACATAAAAACAAGAAAGCACAACGGTCGTTTCAGGAGATTTATACACCAATGAAAACAGTAAGCATTTACTGTTTCCATGTTATGTGTTCAACAACTGCACACTGACCATGTATTACTTATACTAGCTAGAAGCCCGGTGCTGGCTCTGCCTCCTGCATGTGTAGAATTACATCGTGAGTAGAAGAAGCTGTATCTCGAGGCTGAGATCTTGAGAGGGCTGTGTGTTGTACCAAATCAGCAGGACAGTGAGCTCTGTCCACACTCGGCTCCTCAGTGGGAGAGCAGGGGCAACCGAGTGTTCACAACCAACATGAAGTGGACTGCCGAGCAGCACAAATGCTGGTGGGCAGGGACAAGGAGAGGAATATAATTGGCCACTGGGACTCGGCAGGTCCCTGTTAATTAGAGGCAGCCATTTTGGTGGAAAAACTCCTCAGAAAATGTCCCATGGAGTTGAAAGTCTCACTGACAGAATGGAACGCAGCAGGGAACGTAAACAGATTTAATAAGGCCCTCTCCAATCAACTCTGTTATGGCTAGATGCTATTCTCTCCTTCCTCTCCCTCTCCCCCCTCTGTCTTTCTCAGTCTGTCTCTGTGTCTCTGTTGTGGTAGAGCGGTGAGTGAGTAGGAAAGGATACTGTCAAAAGAACAATTTGCATGCAGCTCTCATCTTGAGAGCTTTTAGACATCTCCCTGTCTGTTTTCTGCTGTGGATTTGGGCCATTGTTCTCTGTGCATGTAAGTGTATGCGTGCGTGTGAGTGTGTGTGTTTGAGTATGGGCTTTTCCACTCTTTGCCTATGCCACACAGTGTGTGTGTGTGTGTGTGTGTGTAAAATGAGAGGATGGAAGGACTGACATTGTTGCTGTTGCTCCTAAACACTTCGATGGAGGAAAAGAAGAGCACTAGATAATTAGAAACGCAGCCCTTTATAAGATCCTTCTAAAGTCAGAGAAAAGATGGCCCCTCTAAGATGCATGGCATTTTTGGTATAGGTATTCCAAATTCTACTTGGATAAAGACCAGTTTTTTTAAACTGCTCTGATCGTCACATAAAAATGAACTGCACACCATTTGACTTTTCTCAGTCAACATTTTGATGGTGGTGACGTCACTGTTTTATTATATTGATATTAGTATTAATAAGAGTGTTATTTGGTAACTAAAGAGTTATTTGTATGCCCGCTTTTCCTCAATCATCGTCCCTTCTTACCACTACACGCAGGTAGATAGATAAAAGTAAAGTGATTAAACGCATTGTAAATGTCTAAAATGGTTTTTTGAAAACTATTTCCGGACAAACTGGGAAATTTTTTAATTCTGCTTCGAGATATATTATTAGAACACAGGTCCAGTCTTTTGATAATCCAGAAATAGAGCGAAATACGACTCGTGTGCCGTTTTCTCCTTTGCTAAAACCAGCCCTGCTTCCAAGTGCAGCCTGTCTGCGTGTACTTAGGAATGGTTAAAAATAGACAGGGAGCTGAATGGTTGAGCAGGGGAAAGGGAGAGATCTGAGCGATGACTTTAAAAATTTGATTGACTCAGATTAAAGAATATTTGCATCTTAATTTGGGTTACAGCATGTTCAGGTCATTGCAGTGCTTGTGCATCATTATGAAGGGCAACTTTGTGTGAGTTTGTGCTCAAATGGACAGGCCTTTTTTCTAGTAATTTGCAAACATGTGTTACAGGATCTATTATCAGTGGAAGAGGACACTGAAAGACATTCAAAAGATAATAAACATTCAGTCGACAGTCTGCTTACAGCCTCCTGGTCTGGTTCGGCATGAGTCAAGATAGAATCGCATCCATCTTCTTTTTTTCCGTTTTATCTTCCCACCATTCAGTGATTAGATTTGGTGTTCTCCACTCTTTCCATTTGCAAAACACTGACACTCCCTGCTCCCCCCCCCCACATACACACTCACACATATATGCAACAAAAGCTATTAATTCGATCAAACAAATGTTTTTTTATGCAAATGCATGAATAATTTCACTTCACGCATTGCTTCTGTTGGAGAATAATGTTCGCTCAGAATAAGCATTTCTATTATGTATCAGAGTGCTCTGGTAGAAAAGCAAAGTGCAACCTACCTCCCTCCTCCGACTTTTGACTCTCACACTCTTTCACCTTTTTTTTTTTTTTTTTTGCTGTTCTCACACACTTACACCAAGCTCAAAGTTTTTGCAACACTTTGATCCTGAGGTGCTCTGCAAAACCAGATATGAAAACCCAAGGTTCTCTCTGCCACAGCAGCAGCATCAGCAGTCAAATAGCTAGCTGAAGGGCCCCTGTTGCTGCACTCTCCCACAAACCTCTGCAGCTATCAGAGAACCATTTGGAGACTCCTCTTCCCGTCTTCATGACTATCTATCTGTCTCTAGTATTTGTTGTTTACACCCTTTTACATGTATAGACCCTTTTACAGTCAATGTCATCAAAAACATGCTCGAATCAATATTCCAACAGCTGAGTGACCGTGTTAACCGAATGTGTCGGTGGTTGCTCGTACTATCTAACAGTTATGAGTATGTGTTCAAAATGTATTTAAGGATTTTATGAGGACACCTAATACTACTCTTTACCAACTGTTGCTACAAGCAACCACAAACACATTCGCCTGGACGGCGGCATCTATGCAAGCTATTCTACGTATTGTATACCGCTGGACAGATCAATAAAGCTCGTGTTTGTAGCGCACATTTAAAAAACTCAAACTCAAAACTGTGTCATGGTATTGGACGTTCTCTACATGACCACAGATAGCATAGCTGCAAGTGTCTATGCTCGTAATTTCTCGCTAGTGTAACTTTACATGCTTCCATCAAATACGTGATTCCACTAAATAGTGATCCACTTGCCAATATATTCTACCCAGTCACTAATAGTATAGGAATGGTAAGTCAATTTGTTTAAGTTGCATTAGCAATCTTTAGTTGTTAATGCCCTCACATAGCTTGACCAGTTATTGCACTCCGATGTACTTCTGTTGCCAAACTGCATTTACAAACTGTAAAAGGGTCTATTTCTCAATGTTTAATGGCCTGTTCTGTGTTTAGTTTGTGGTTCCATACTAGGGTTTTAAAATGTTTTGATAAAATGTTTGTGTCATATGAGAGGCAATTGGTTTTTCACCAACTTGATCATTTGTTGTCAGCATGATTTCTCACAAATATAAACCATCATTCCTAAGCTTTTCAGCATCATGTATAAGTATTTACTCTGCCTTGAAATAAGTAAATCAAACGTTATTAATGAAATACCTGAAAAATCAAGGTACTTCATCACATTGCTCTGTTCCAAACTGAGGGAGAAATATTTTTCTACTATTTCGCTATGACATTCGAATCTCTGTCAGGCAAGAAATAATTGTATGTCAATTCCAAAACAGTGATATATTGTATGTGCAAAGCTCATTTAAAACCCTTCAAATGTCTGGAAACAGGCCTTAAAAAAACCTTTTTACCCAAACTGTTGATTTGACTTTATGCAAAAAGCATGACTTTATGCTTTTTAGAAATTAAATTTTTAAAATAACCACTTTGTCAGAGTCTTGTATGCCTTGCTACATATTAATTGTTCAAAATATTGTAAATAATAGGACAGAGGCCTTTGCTAATGAATGCTATCTCTCTCCTTCTTCCTCCCTGCACTTTCACTCCATGGTTCCTCTCCTCGCCTCTTCCTCTCTCTCCTCCCGCTCTGACCTGCTCCAGATCATCAGTAACATGGAGGCTCCTGTGTCAAATGGCCCCAGCGGAGGAGGCACCACAGCCAACGGGCCGACCACCAACAGCCGCGGCTGTCCCTCGCCCATGCAGACTGGCCAATCAAATGACGACAGCAAGACCAACCTCATTGTCAACTACCTGCCGCAGAATATGACCCAGGAGGAGTTCCGCAGCCTGTTTGGTAGCATCGGCGAGATCGAGTCCTGCAAGCTGGTTCGCGACAAGATCACAGGTACAGAAAGGAGACTGTCCATGTTGCACTCGGATACTGTTGCTTGCGTTTCCCTTTTCATGAACTTGACATGATTTGAGATGTATCCAATAGGTCCCCATACAGGAGCGTGTATTTCACTGAAATCACCTAAACTTAAGTCAATCAGCTGTCAATGACAATATGATGCACGAAATTAAGATATAATGTAATATACTGTGTGATGAGTTGGTAGTCCCCAAAGGCAATTTTGCCAAGGTAAAAAGGAAGAAGTTCAGCACAAAGGGATTTACTATACTGAGCTCATCCAGAGCTGGAAGGGATTTAGATGCTTGCTTTCTATATTGACAATTTTGACTGGCCTGATCCTGGCACTTTAAGACTTGGCTTCCTATTCACTTCAGCATTGAAATATATTTTTATTTTATTACAATACTCAACAAACCACATATTTTAAATTGTTGTTTAATTTACGTTTGTTGTAATAAATTATTGTGTGTTTCTTCACCTTTTTTTTGTAATATTTGCAGTAGACAGTAGATTGGTAGGAATAATAAAATAGTTGTTGAGAAAGACAGCTTACATTACTGTTCACATACTGCTAAAGGATCAAAGGTAGGTGTAGATACAGTAAGCCAAGTAGAGACACACATGTAAAGAATGAAATATGAAATTAATATTTCACTTCGCACGAGTGTACGCAAGCCCCCGGCTCAACACCATTCCAAGCAATTTAAGTGTTTGACAGTAGTCGTTGCATGCATTGTCTTCTAGGAGGAGAAATCCATCTCTGTCCTCCGTGTGTGTGTTCAAGCGCTGTGAGTCAGCAATGCGGCAAAGTGCCACATGTTCTCCAGAGGTGTTTAAATTAAGCAGCACTTCGCGGTGCTAATCATGGCTGTAATCTGGGCGTAGTGGCTGTGTGGGTGGCCACACAGCAGATGGATCAGGGGAGGGGGTTGGTGCGGCTCTGTGATAATGCTCCATAATGGCTTTCATTTTAGATCCTACTTACTGACACTCTTCTCCTGATAATCTCATTAAAGAGCACCAGGCTGGCAGGCAGTGTAGATCACCAAGCCATTGTCAGATAGCAGGCAAGGCGGCGAGAGTAAACACACACATAAATACGCACACATAAATATAATAAATATACCTGAACATAATCACCAAATTAGATTTCCTGTAATAGATTAAGTACAACCAAAAGGCCGATAGCGATGACAATGTTGACTGTAAACCAGAAACGGCCACTAACCCAAGCCATTCCTGCCTCCTCCTCTTCTCTCATTCTTTGAAGCATATTCCGAAGCACTACAATTCCTCTCTAGGACCATCTTCCTCTTCCTCTCTAATGGGCCACAAAATGGAGCCTGTGAGAGTCAGATACACCAGGATAATGGAGGACGGCGTGTACAAAAATAACACTGGGATACCACATGCTATCATCATCATCACCGTGTTCTCTCTCCTCCCGATTTTCCCCTCAAGTGTGATTTGCCAAGCGGCAGTGAGGAACCAAGCTGATACTTGGAGGGAGTTTAAAAAAACGAACAGAATTGCTGTAAACCTGCTTGGGCCCTAAATGGGGAATGTGAGAGAATGGTAGAGTTGTTTGTTCGCTCACTTCTAAACCATTTAGGGTACTTCTCTGCTCTGCACTACAAGGTCTCTCTGATGACTTAGCATCAACGCAAAAAGTTATAAATAAATCCCACCCTCCTCAATCTCCCCCTCTGGTGTATGCCTGTTTTGCTCTCCCATGGGGGCAATTTCCTGATTCAAACTTTTAGGCTAACAAAGCACAGATCCCCTCTTTTTAGCAGGGAATGCCAAGAGGCTTTATACTCAACTCATTTATATAACAGTCATCCAAATCATTAATAGACAAAGCCAGGTTTGCTAGCAGGAGGGAAAAAGAGAAGGATGGGAGGAAGAGGAAAGAGAGCACCATTTTTTCTTTATAGGCCAATGTATACACCTGTACCCTTTTTCGTCTGTCGTAAATATCTACACATAATGTGTAATTTGACATTTTTATGCGAGTGAGTTAATGCTGAGGAAGGAGAGGATATTTTTTACCATGTTGAATTTTCAGCAGGAAACCTCAGAATGTCTTGAGGGTGGTTAGAGTGTTCTGTAGCTACACATTATTCATATTGATGAGGATATTAAGGCCCTCATTTTCTATTATGCCGTGTGAAGTGTTTGAGGAGTACAGAACAAAAGTTTTGTTTTTGAATATTTTATCATTACAAAATTGAAGTATTTCGCCAAAAAAATTCACGGATTTAAGCAGACTTTTTTGGTGTACATTTTGCAATGTAGAGTACTTTTGTGTCGAGTGTGCGGCCTATCTGACCTGTAAGTCTTTGCTGATAAGGTGTGAGCATGTACGCCTCTCAGAGGTACAGTAGGAGAGACATACAGGTCCTCAGCTTCCTGCGGACTTGCTCTTGTCAGCTCCAATGACGCCATCGCGGCGTGAGGCTCGGGTGGTTACAGGCAGGCGTAGACACTCCGGCTCCGTCTGTCACCCTGGTTGACTTCAGCTGGTATAACAGCCACCTCTGGGTGTCTTTCTTGCTCCCCACATGCCTGCCCGCTTGCCTACCTGCCTGCCTGCTTGCACAACTACCTCTGCCTGGTGAGCTCATAACACGGCAGAGACACGCAGGTTAATCTTTTATTAAAGGCTAGTTTACACGCACCTAGCTGCAGCCCACACACACTTGCACGTAAGCCCCAGGCCTCCTCCTGTCTGCCTGTGTACTCTTAAGGAGAAGATGCCTTAAAGACGATCGTTGTTTGAATTAAGTGTATACTATAGTGGCTTTTACATTTGTCCTTCTGCATTCCACGCAGAGAGAATGTAACATGTACAAATGCTCTTTGGCCAGGGCATGATGACTCTGAGACACTGTGGACTATAGATGGTTCCTCTTCTAGCGCTCCTTCATTAAAAGGTTGAAGCTGAGAGTTGCCAGTCTGAAAGCTCATCTTGAACAAAAAAGTAAGGCAACCACCAAAAAAACAACACGCAAACCCTTATTGTGAGCGAGGAAAAATCAATGTGGACCTTGCAATATGCTGAATCAGCACTCGTGAACTTCTATACATGCCCATGCACGAACACACGCTTACACAGAGAGAGAAATGGAATTGACTGATCCTTGTCAGTAAGTCATTTTTCAGGATAATTTTTCTGCATCAGCCGCATTTCTGCTGGAGAAATGACTACATTTGTTTTCACAATGACACGGAGGAGAAGGAAATGGCTTTTCATGCTGGAACAAGGATTGATTGCATTGGGGAGGTCCAATCATTTTTTTGGATTGACAGTAGCCAAAAACCTCAGTAGCCTTTACTCTGTAGAGACATATACGATATGTTACTTGCTTGTTGAGTAAACAGTTGGCCATGTTCACCAGCTGCTATGGTGTACCTTCAGGTAGCATTTTGTTATTGCGGTCTTTCAGCAGCAAACTCCACTAACCGTTTCATAATGGGAACAGCATTCTTCTCCTCTTGATGCAGATGAAATAATTCTCATGTCTACATCCAACCCTGTAAAGACATCATCCCAAAGCAACACTGACGGAAGCCTTTGGTGCACACTACTCTAGTCACCTTCCATGTGTTGGTTTTATACATGGAATCTGGGGAGCTGATGCAAATCATAGTGACAATGTAGCAAGCCAAGCAGATGTTGGCTATGAAAAATAGATGGACTGTGATGTCAGCTGTGGAGTAGTTCAAGCCGGGGCACCTCTGACAGACAGCAGCTTCAGTAGCGTGTGAATGCCTGCTGCGAACCCAATTCTTACATAAGGACAGGTACACCATCTTCACATAGGTGCAAAAAATATCTCGGGTTTGGTGGATTCGGCTTGCTTTGCCTGCACAAGTCTGTGGCTCAGGCAGCACACTTCCGTTAGTTTCATTGTCATTCCATTTCTGTTATGGAACATCAAGTGCACCCACAAGTATTGCAAACATAAAATATGCATCTAACCCTGATCTGCAAGGACAGATGGGCTCAGCTCCTGCACAAGGTCTGTCAGTCTAACGGGGAGCAGATCAAATATTCACCATTTAAACCTCAGTTTACCCATATCTCTTTGTTGCTACTGAAATATAAATTGACAACACGCTCTGAGGAAAGGGGGATTCTCTTTGTACTTCAGATTGCATGCCAAGCTGTTTTCACATCATTACTAGAGTGATGGGAACAAAACTTGCTATTATTCCTCTCCGTTTGTCCTATGATGAGACCAATTTTGAACCTTCCAAAACACCTAAACAACACAAATGCAATGTAGTGACAAACCAACGCTTTCACATCCTTACTGAAATAATGCCGAGCGAGATGTGGCGCAGTGTTTACATCTCACATACAGGCCGCGTTTATCTGAACCTGAAATGGGCTGAAGGCTGGAGATAGCGTGAACAAAGATGACAGGGAAAGAGATGAAAAACGGATTTGACATCTCCACAGCCAGGTATTAAGAGAGCTGCCAGGCTCAGAAGTGCAGACACAAGCAGGCATTAAAGTTTCAGAGTCCCAGGTCGCGAGAATGTCCTGTCTCTCTCCTCATAGCACCCACCCACCCCTCCTGCACCTCCCTCTGCTTAGGGCCCAGAATTGGACGCCCTTAGAGCTTGCATGGCTGTACTGCTCCTCCAGTGACCCTCACTTCAGACAGCCTCTGTCCCCTCTCATTCCACTCTGAGTGCCCTTTACATGGAGCACAGAGATCATGACTGTCCCCTGTGTCTGCCCCAGCAGCTGAATGTGCCTCAGAGCTGGTTCCTCACCTTCCGACCCCTCCACTCTGAGTGCACTGTACCTGGGCAGGAGAGAGCCAGACAGTCCCGTTGTCCCCAGCATGTGTGCTGCAGGGCTGGGGGTGGATGGCGGAGGGCTCATGGGTCTGCTCGCTCTGTGCTCTCAGAGAGAGTCCAAGCAGGTGCAGAACAGTCGGCTCCGCAATCCTGACGTAACAGGGTTATCCAAGTCT